GCGTTGTCTTGACAGTTTCAATCGAATTATCGGGCAAGTGGGTCAGGAATTAATTTTTTCGATAGGATGAGGAGAAGGAGGGAAGGCTCGAAGGAGCTGTAGTCAGTAAATTTGCATCAGTTACCTACTACAATGAAACTACTTACTCCTAACTCCTATTAATTTCTATGAGGAAACGCTTCAACGTGTTTCAGATTCATCACTTCAAAGTTTAAATATCAACGTCAGAGTAGCAAGGCCACCCCTGCACAGATCAAAAAAGCACTTTTCCCGCCATTCTGAAGCTACCATAGACAAGCGCGCCTATTTTTCTAACGTCAAGTGGAGACTGCCACACACGGCATGATGAAAAAATCTCATTTGTGATCATTGCCCGTCAAGAGCCAGACGATGATGGATGGTTGCTACTGGCATAAATCGAATTACCTCAGAACAAGGCACTGTGACCAATCTAGAAATGTGTTAGGATATGAATTGTAGCTATAACGAAACCTGATTCTTACCTCTATATTAATTCTACTGTATTTGATCGTGTTTTTAGATACAGGAGTATTCTAAGAAGTAAAAAGCCAAACTCGCAAGCAAAAAAAACTTACATTATGACCTACGTTACATTTTATAATTATATTCTTATTTCAAACCAATCATTATTAAAAAGCGCTGAACCGCTCGTATTATTCTATAGCACAGAATAATACGAGCTGTTCAGCGCTTTTTGATCATATTTTGTACACTGCCTTAGGAGTACTGTCTAGTGTCTGTATAATCAAATGTGACACCTCTACAAGATCGTCTTCGAGCAATTAACTTACTGAACAAAATTAATTTGTAAGCTGGAAACGCTAATGAAATGAAAATAAACTTTATTCAATTGGATTTATTTAAAGCGTTCGGTTCTCTGCCTATAGGGCTTCTTAGATGATCCCTACTGATATTTGTGTCTATTATGGAAAGTGAAAAACAACAGAACAAATGCAGGCAAATCAAAATAAATAAAAATTTCTAACACTCACACCAATTAGCCTAGCCCCAAAGTAAGCACTGTAAGGCTTGTGTTATGAGATACTTGGATAATGGATAGAATACATATACTGTACATATATAAAAATACTTATCAAACATCCATGACTGGAGTACAAATGCTCTTATTCATTACACAAACATCTGCCCCCATCGGGATTCGAACCCGGGACCTCTCGAGTAAGCGACACCTTGAAACCGGACATACAAACCACTCGGCCACGGAGGTCGTCAATTAACTTCATTATTACGTTATTTTAACCTGAGAGGCTCAATCTCTTATCCCTTTTTCTCTTTCTTTCTTGAAAATATCATAAATCGCCAATATAAAACATAGTCGTTTTAGTTAGTTATGATATTTATAACGTCTGGGTCGATTTTAATAAGATCTGATTTTTCGGTTTCGTCTCCGCCCCGAATCTATTAAAATTTCGGATAAATCACAGAAAAAGTAATGCAGAAATTCAATTCTCACTAAATCAATTAGGTTTGGTATTAATAATAATTTAACACCATACTTGACTTTACAGTTACCACGTCAATCACCGATCGCTTGTCATTAAAAAATACATAATGCATCAATTTAATCCAATAACTTAATTAACTTTCTTATCAATTTTCCAACACTATTAATAAATCCATCACACAGCCAATCGAATTGCTCACTCCGAAACAAAACACTGTTAGCAATCTGACCTTCTAATCCAATGAAAAAAGGGAGAAAAAGCAAATATTGTAAGTACTAAGAATTGCGTCTACTGCGAAAACAATAGATCATAAACACCACCTAGAGACAAATACCATGATTTATTAGCTGTCGCAAAAAGAACTAAAGATTGCATCAATCGAAAATGGTAGATAAAACAAGCTATTAGAGATCTAAATGGATTAACGGCTTAGCAATTCTTAATGAAGTTCTAGGTAAGGTGAGCTACTCTAAAGCTGAGTTTTTTCTTATTAAAAAGAGTCGAGAATAGTCTGAGTTCTATTCCGCTTTTTTACGATTTGAAAATGGAATCGAATCGAGTTACGAGCTCAAGTGACGTGGAAAATGCATTTTAACTTCTATATCGATATATATCAATTAATATCGATTTTTCTTTTCTATGATACTCGTAGTAGTTTATGTTTTGAATGACGCCCATTTTATTCTGTTACACTTTCCATTAATAAAGTGCTATTTTTAATCATTAATCCTAGTTTAGATAAGATTCACAATCAATTACAAAAATTTTATACTTCATAGTAAGTTGCTGTAGGTATTGTTTATAACATGCATCAAAATGAGAAAAAGAGAACCTTTTATCATTATTAATTTTAACTAATCTTATGATTTTGAATACATATTTTGACCTAAAAGATATTGGAAAACATTAAACATTAGACAAAATTAACTAAAGTAGCCTTTTTTATACTAGCTTTTTATTGGTAAAATTATAATAAATTAAAGTCATCTTATAATGGAGAGTATTTGTTAATGTTATAAATATGTTAGAAAAAACATACATTCTAAAATATTACGGTAAAAGCACAGAGTCAGTGACACTAATAATGCCTATCGACTACCGGATACCGGATTGCGTCACGTCACTAACAAAATATCGATGCGGGTTCATCAAAGTGCGGCTCACAGACAATAACTGAGAAATATTAAATTATAATAAAATTAACTCGGCCTTACTTTTTATACCGTTACCGAGTGTAGTGTTAACAAAAGTTAGACATGACATTGCTATAATGGTGTTTATTTAACTCTGCAAGTCTATCATTTTCTTATCGCAAGACACTTGAAAAGCAATCTTAGGCTCTGAGATTATATGAAATAAACAAAAAAATAAAGAGACGTACAAAATACTCATATTATCATTATTTTTATTTTGAGAAAATATAGAATAAGTATAGATGTAAAGCTTTAACTTTTTTAAAGTAATATCGACGCTTTATTTGTCCTTTAATATTTCTGTTTTGATATAATTAACGAGAACTATTTAATATTGACATAAAAATGAAAAGTTGTATTTATATTTATCTAAAATACTAACTTTTTAAAGAATTTCGATACTGGTGAGTAGGTATATATGTAATATAATTAATTCGTCTTTTTTTCTTTTTCCTATTAAACTATAAATTTAACCATTATTAACCTAGGAACAATAACACACATTTTAGGTAATTTAAACCAACACTTATCTTTACTAAAATATTCAGTCTTATCTAGCCATTCTAAAGGCTGTCGCCTCACGGACCAACACGGAACGTATGTAGTGACGATTATTCATTCTATACGGTGACACATGACGAATCAATCGGACACGAACGAATCGAATCAGACGCCCGCCGATGTTTCCGAACGCACCGCTCATTACACCATGTGTTCCAATGTTTAACTCTGTGGTTGGACGAGGAAAACTCTGGCGCCAATTTTGGTTCAATCTGTGGTTCCTTTGGGAATTTGCCGCATTTTATCGTTGTCTTTGAATTTTAAAACTAATAACGGTTATAAACTAAAAAATAAAAAGAATAGTGCCTCTTTTGCTAGTTTGAGATTAGTTACCTATGTAGTAATTTGCAGCAAGCATTTTTCTCAAGCCTGAAAGAATCCCACTTCATGAAAAATACTCTGTCACGGAAAAGGCTGTTACAAATTCTACTTCTGAGAATACATTACGCCTAACCGTAAGTGGTATTTTTTTATACTTTATCATATAGTAAAAAAAAACTCCGCACAGACACCGCTTTGCTACACGCTGTAATTATGTCACAAAGCCAACAATTACAGCGTGTGTAGATATTGACGTACGTATTTTTATCTGCTAAATCTCGACACATCTAAAATAAGACTTTATTTCCTGCGCAGAAGGAATGAAAATCGTTGGCGGAAATCCCATGTACAATTGTCGTGAGCCGTGTATTACGGAACGTATAATTAAAAAAGCTACATTCTTTTTTCATTTTTTTTTTTAAATAATATCTGTCACTACTTTTAGTGCGCTGCCGTTTTTCTTGAGCAATGTCTTGAGTGTCTATGGTTTATTTTTTTAAACAATACGGTTGCAACCGCAACTGGAAGTTCGAAGTTTATTATATAACATGCTGGTTATATCATTCTATATTTTTTTTTATATTTCTGACACAAACACACACCAATTGTAAAGGGCATAGTTAAAGAGGGATCTTATTCTATTCCTATAACAAGGCCGCCAGACCTTACTTATTTCACGATGAACAAAATATGGATTATAGAGTAGCATTAGTAATTGCAATGAACGTATCCATACTTGCTAATTTGTACTGTAGGCCAATTTCAGGTATCAGATGGCACTGGTACATCCAAATTTCAGTCACTTTACTTAGTCTGAGGACCAGACCCGTCTTTCCCAGTGGGCACTTTGGGCAAGTGCCCAGGGCCCCGCGATCGATAGGACCCCACCTCCTAAATAAATCAAATACAAAGTCCCTAGTTCCTGTTAGATCACCAAAGAAGGGTCATAGGGGTCCCATTATCCTAATATGCCCAGGGCCTCCAATAGGTCAAAGACGGCACTGCTGAGGACTAATTCTTGCGTAGTTGTAGAGAACATTGTAAACAATTTGAAATTAACGCTGTCAAACACATTTTGCCAGCAATATTTATTGCCACTTTAAGCAAAAAATACAAACTTACTTACAACCTGATGTTTATCTATGATATTTGGTGGGCTTTTATTATGTATATTTTGTAGGCTGCCAGACAAATCGTAACGCCCAAAAAATCCTTTAGCCTATTTAAAGTGACATTGGTGTCGATTCTGGCACGAATCTCTTAAACTAAACTAAAAATTGACAACAGTGTATCCTTGTCAGTCTCTATACAGAATGAAAAGGAGAGACTGATATTAAATTTAGAAAATCGTGCCCGAATCGACACCACTGTAAAAAAGGGCGCGCTCGAAGTAATTAAGTTCTGATGATGATGATTAATAAATGAGGAAGTTACTCACCTGTGTCTGCGTCAGCCCAAGGCTAGCTGCTAACTCTGCTCGTTCAGGCAACGCCAAGTACTGCGTCCTCTGGAACCGCCTGTTCAGTTGCTGCAGCTGCAGACTCGAATATATGGTTCGCGGTTTCCTCATCTTCTTGCCTTTGCCGTTCACGCGCAGGCCAGGGTCGTCTGAGAGCCCACATTTTTCTGGAAACCAGACATCACATTAGATTATTGACTTAATATAAATAAATGATGCGTCACGTTGTTTGCCCGGGATGGACTCCTTAACTACTTAACCATTTTAATCAAATTTGCACACCCTGTGCAGTTTGTACCAACTTGAAAGTAAGGATAGCCTACATCACAATTTATAGTCGCAATATTATTTTATTGCAAATTTACTTTTAGGCGGTACGAAGTTCGCCGGGTCAGCTAGTACTTACTTACATAAAACTTAAAAAACTAAGGTACATTTTACTACGAAAATATTCCACTCCATAGGTATCAGGTTCGACAGGATTCGACTCTACGCCTTCCTCTATCCGGGCAATAGAGCAAGATGGACTTCGAATTCAGATCATTCTGTCATTTCTTGCGAGGGGGAATATATATGCACACAAACGCAGTTTAAAGTACACGCATATAAAACAAAACTGTAACTACGACACTCACAGATAAACAATGATAAAATACATCACCCATTCAAGCACATATCACATTGTACCCTTAGTATGCCCAATTTGTATGCCCAATTCGACAGAGGGGAAAACTGTGTTTGCCTACTACTCTCCTCATGGCCGCGTAGGCCGTGTTGCTCTATGATTCGGATAGATAGCTTTCTAGTAAAATTTATTTAGATTTTTAATGTTAGAACTTCTTACATAATAGAAATCGCTTAATGAAAACACTATTTAAGTAGAAACTTGATGAATGTCTTGCTTAAACCTTTCGGTAATTGGTTCAATGTTTTTACAAGAAGAACTCGTAAGGAAAGTAGGTTAGAATCTATTCGTTTAAAACGCAGGGTATCACAGAAGCGATACTGAAAACATTACAGTACGAAAACGTTAATCGCATGTTTGTTTCTCTATGTTCACTTATATCAAGAAATGAGCAAAGAAATAGTTTATTTTCAACTTTATTTAAACTCTGTGGATCTTTAAAAATCTTCGATAAATAATACTCGTAAACTGCTAAAACATTTTGAACAGGTCTAGGTCTAAAATTAATAAGAAATAGACCACCGCCAAGATTTTACGAGCTTATCACGTGTAGAGAAACGGAACGCTTCCAAATTCAAATCGCGAGTACGTTCGGGAACCACACCCCGCGATAAATCAACACACACAAAACGGCGTAATAAATCCACAATATAAATATTCAAGCCATACGATGCGATGGCTCACCATCCATTTTGTAAAATATATGAAAGGCACTCGCTACTTGATAATAGTCAGTGGTAACTGGTAATTACTGGCTTTATATCGCTACATCGGATCGGCATGGCCGACACCCGCTTTTTGGTGGCATGGATGGCAGCGCGGTTTCTGAACGTTCGCATTTTAAATTTCGAAACTTCTTGTTTGTTTTAACGTGCAGTTTCGAAATTTTAAGAAAAAGAAAGTATTTTTTTATAGTGCTGTGACCTGTTTATGTCTTTGCTATTCTAATTTCTAATGTGTTATCGATACAAACGAAATCAATTAATTTTATTTAAAGCATACCTTCTTTGATAAATAAAATGTTTGTTTTAGTGCAGTGCTGAATTTAAAAAAAAACAAAACACGAATGGTTCCATACCATTGTACGTCTACATAAAAGATTTTACACTTGGTCAAGCAAAAGTTATCGCGAAAATTACGTTTCTTATATTATCATTTAAGTTCATATTTTTTTTAGCGAGGTAAGTAAATGACACTACCCCACCTGATGTTAAGTGGTGATAAAGACCAAACGCGAAGAATTTTTTATTTGATTTTCACTATTTAACGTAAAAAAATACAAAGGTGCATATCCTTTTCTCGTGAAACTTATTAGTAGCAGTTAACAGACTTTGCTAAACCATAGATCTTTCAATTGAAGAACACTTACAGTTTCATTTCATAAGAAGGCAAAGGGATTATTTCACACTCCAGCCATAGTTTCATACTGTTGCATAACCCAAGCCTTCCGATATGTCTAAGATATGCAAAACGCAAGTAGGCCTCGTTTGTCAAACTTACAAAGACATTAGTGCTGCCCAAGTAAACCTTGTGTAAACGGAACAAGTGTCAAACTGAATCGGTAGACGTGCACCGTTAACTTTGTGAAAAAATCGCTTTGTGGTTTTAAAGTAAGAAGTAAAGCATTGGGAAATGTTTCATGTGCGCATTTTGTGAAATTGGTAGAAAGTTAGTATTATTTTATTCTGCACCAGTTCCCTCTACGTAAATCTGTCAATGGTAACGACCTCTGCCCCAGCAGTTAAAAGTAAATAAAAAGAAATGAAATGTTTCATTTATAAAATTATCTGTCAGAAAGTTTATTTATATCTTTAGTACTAATGATTTTTATACACAATATTCAAGGATTTTTTTTGAAAATCATATTGCTGTGAAAAAAAATGTGTGCACGTACCCGTTACACACATCTGAAGTTACCCTCCAACTTTCATGTTCGTCGGGAAGAGCGGCGTACGCATTCCACACACAGACAGACACACACACACACCTATATGTAGTCGTGTGACGCTCGTAACGCTTTTCCGTATCATCGTTTCCATAGGATTTTACGATTAACACCCCTTCCAAAAAGAAGTTCCACTTTAAAAACAAACGTTTGAACTTGAAGTAGGTGTATATTATTATTATTACAGATTTTCGGAGCTATGCAGTCCCAGTGGAACTGTTATCACTGCGACCTAAAAGATCTATTGTGACTGGCCACCAAGTTAAAGTATCTCCTTTAGCCGGACAGCTTCCAAGAAGCTCAGAACGTTTCCAGCTTTTAGAGGTTTAATTTCCTCTGGGCGTATTATACGTCGTCCCAGATGAATACTACGTTTGCGGATAACAGGCCCACATTCACATAGGTAGGTGTATAACAGAACTCTTTGGAACTGTTCAACACTTTTCCTACCACCAGTTTAGGTCTTCATTTCACTGTGGAGAAGTAATGGTGACAGATTAAAAATTATACCTCGATGACACGGGGCGAGTTTACCATTGAGGAAGTTCAAAAATCCTGACATATTCCTGACATTTCGAAAAAAGTCCGGACTTTTTTAGTCACAAAATAGTATCATTCCTCACTTTGTTTCGATGGTATGGTATTTAAATCAATATGTACATTTATAATTCATGTACAATGTAATTTAAAGAATCCAATCCAATCCAATTTAGATCTGGTCAAAGTCCGACTTTAGTCTAAAAATCCGTTCATGCCCGGACTAATCCAGGACGGATCGTAACCCTACGCACAGCTCAAACTAAACGCATTATGATGAAATTTGGCACACATATAGCTATTATGATGTAGGCGTGCGCTAAGAAAGGATTTTCAGAAACTCACCCCCTAAGTAAAACGGGTGTTCAAAGATTGTATGGGAAACTGATATTTTCACGCAGATGAAGTCGCAGCATACATATATATATATGGGGAAAATATTTTAAATGCCAAAAACTGCATTATATTTTACAGGTAAATAGATATATCCATTACCAGAGAATTCTACAATTTTATTAGGAAATTGTTGAAGCGCAACCAAACGTAGTTTTAAAGCGAAACTTGCCTACATAAAGACTTTTGTTCTACAATTCCCATGCATCGTACCAACATACAAACATACAAATATGTACATACAGACTGATGTCGGCGTTCGTCAGACAGACAGACAAAACAATGCTGTGCCCCGAGGTAGACACACCCACAGTGGTGATGCGACTATGTCGATGTTAGTGTTGTTTCAACTATCGAAACATCGATAAATACACAACGTTGATACACTTTTTAGGGTTATTTCAACCTTTCGTTATTTGTAACTAGAGTAAATTTCATGTAAACCTTAAGTATACTTTAAAACACCGTTGAATTATTACTCAGCCAGCTTACCAATTCATAATATAAATAGTAAATTATTTTACAAAACGAAAAGAAAGGGTTAATGAAGATTGGTATTTTACTGTCATACCTGTAGAAATTGTGAATGAAAGACAGTATACAGTATTCCTTGCTCAAAGAAAAATTAAAAAAACATTTTACCGCCCGTTCAAAACGCCGAATCAAAAATAAAAATATCTTTCTTTGGAAGTGTAAAAAAATATTCGAAAAAAGAACACCTAAAAGTTCAACTTCAAACTTAAAATATATTCTAAAGTAGAGCCGCTTCGTCTTCGACACGCCCCCGCCGCCGCCTACCGAAAAACTGAAGATAAAACGGCCAGCTAAAAAACAATAAAACCCTTTTTCACCTTCAACAAAAACGCTTATTAAAAAAAAGAACCTCTATGGTCCGTGTAGACGAACGCGCGAGAACTACCAACCGCATGGCGGGAAAAATAAAGTCTAATTGAATTATGATTGTATTGTCATTAATTTTATTAATATCTTTTATTGAAAATTACTTTTATCACTAGAAATAAAAAGATTTTGCAACGAGATAACAGTGAGCGCATTAAATTTGAAGTAGTTCAACTTGAATGATTTTAAGGAGGCAACACTTATTTTTTATTAAAATATCGAGATCTAAACACTGTTTAACAAAATGGCAATTTAACGTCAGCAATCTGATCAAGGATATCAGATCAAATTGAACATCTGAAAACATCTGAAAAATACATTTACGATACCTTTTAAATGACAACACCCCAGACTTTGCATAAATCTTGATTCAAGGAGCAGCCGAAATTTATTGTTATTCATATAAAACTACTTAATAATAATAATAATAATATTCTTTATTGTAATACACTATACAAGAAAACACAAGTAAATTAAAAAACATATAAAACTACTTCTTAACTCATAAGCATTCAAATGAGTTTCATGTTGCCGTTCTTGTTGTCACAGCTAAAACATTTACTATAGGTAGTTAATCTCCCATTTGTAAATGAGTGACAAAGTGGTAGGAAAATATTTCAAACCGAAGCAAATTTTATTGATATCAACGCTCCTTCTAAATGCTTACGAGTATTTTGCACCCGTTCTTCTTGCCAGCTAAAGGATTT